AAAGAGTGAAGGCTGATTATGAATTCAAGTGCCACTAGAGGTAGTTTGTTAGTATGGCTGTACTATAAAGGCAACAAATCAAATTCTTTCTCTTTCTATCCATGCTTTTGGTCCTGTTCCGATTCCAGCGGATCCTTGTCTTACCTACAAGGAACATAGTGGTGTGATACATCTGCATTGCTCTACGATGTCTACAGGACTGGGACCTGTCCTTTGTTCCGCACGAGGAGCCTGATTCTGCTTACACTGAAAGAACAAATGTTATTCTGGACCTCAGTAGGAGCAAAGTCAGGCTCCCATCTCCGTTGTGTACTGCTTTGCTTCACTCATGATGTATGTTTTGATTCACTACAATAACTAGGATATTATCAGTGGTATGTGGTTGAGAAAATGAAGATGTTTAGGAAGAGACCTCGTTCGGACGGCTAGAAACAATGTTTGCTTTTATGATCCTAGTGATTTCTTTTCCATTGTTCTAGTGATGTGGGGAAGAAAAGAGAGAGCTGTAAGTGATGCTCTCTGCAACATCTGCCAGGGTTCCTCAGCCTGGCGTTTGGTGCTAAGACACGTAAAGGTGGTTTATAATGCCGTTGAAAAGAGGTTTTCTTGGGTTTTTTTTCATTTCCACTCATGCACACTTAGATATGCCTGAACGCAACTGAAATGGGGAGAATAAATAAGAAACAATAAATAACTGTTAAAAATGGAGTATATGTTTTATAATAAGTGCATATAGTTTTGGTGGCTCTACGCAACGTTGTGCTTGAGTTTTAGTAGATTGGAAAGCACTGGGCCGTGGTGTAGAGGCCTCTGATTGGTACTGGTAAATTCTGATGTGCTTTTACCGCTTTCGGTTACTTGCAAAGCATTTGTCTTAATATTTAATTTGTGAGAATATGTTTTCTATAAGCTCTTTTGCCATCCAGAGCTTCAGTGTTTTAGAGCGGAATGAACAGTGGCCCTTGCTTCATACTTTACTAAAGATTAGGGTGTTTTAGCATTACAAATGAGGCAATATTTGCTATTAATTTCTTCACACTCTTCAGCCTCTTCGCTCCAGTGTATTTTTGCTTAAGTACCCTGCTCCTGTGCTCTTTCCTGTTCTACCAAAGCTGATGGTGCATTTAATTGTTCAAAGCAGCGGTAGCCGCTTCTGAATTTGCTCCCGTGGAAACAGTGACTCTTAGAAGCTTCTACTTTATGCAGAAAAGAGTAATTTACTGGGGTTTTGGTTAAAATGAAGTGAAGCAACTGGTAGCCACAATAAATAATAGGAAAAAAAAATCATAAATTCAGCAAGCTTTAAATAGTTTTCTTTTATCCCCCACCCACTGTATGTTTACCCAGACCTATACAGGCATGCACAGTTAGTTTTACATTCACTAAATTTTAGGCATTGTCTTTGTTAGGTACCAGAGCAAATCCTGGCGATCTGACCTCTGTGTGTAAAATGAAGATGACTACTATGTTCTTGTCAGAAGTCTGGTGAAATGGTTTTGGTGGTGGTTGGGGTTTTTTGGTTTTTGTTGGTTTGGTTTTTTTTAATTACAGCTAAAGTGTGTTTCCAGAGGCACTTCTGATTTTAAGAAGTTTTCATCTGAAAGGATTTTTGTTCCAGGCCGCTGCTAACGAATTCATAGATTGGTAGTTACCGTCCTGTGATGCAGGAGAAATTAGCTTGAGTCCCTTTTCTGCCAGACTCTGAAAGTAGTCAGCCATTGGGGAAAACAACCATATACACCTTACTCGGCAAACTGCATTTCATATAAAGCCTTGGACAGTTTTGTTTTTATTCTAGGGTGAAGCAATTTCAGATCTCAGGAACAGATATAAGTAGGAATTGTTACCCTCAAGTCAGCTCCTCTCATGTATCAGACTAATGTCAGCCTAAATATCTATAAAGCAGAGCGGTAGAGCGAATATTTGTTTGCTTGTCGTCAGAGCTCAGAGAATCTGAGGGGCAAAGATGGATTTCTAAAGAACCAAAAGATGCCCAATTCTCTAGAAAATGTAGTGGGGAAAAGGTGGCTTTCTGTACTGGCTTCTTTTGCAATATGGGTGTGCTGGCGGGCCTTCGTCCCCCTCCCGACTGGATGGCGCCTGGAGGTTTTTAGAAGGGTTGTATTTTCTGCCTGGAAAGTAGAGCTCACCATTTACCTGCAGAGCGCTTTGCGGTGGCAGTCCGTCACCTTCAGAAATTATTGAGAGCCCACGAATCACTTGGTTTCTCTCTCCTCTGGAGCTTTGAATGTGACAACCTGATAACTTCTTTTCTCTCCCTGTTTCCCCCAGCCTTGTAAAGCCCATGCGACACTATACAGTCTTCCTCTCTGAGGACTCTTCTGATGATGAATTTCAGCAGGCAGAGGAT